AAGGGGGGGGGGGGAAGATGACTGGGAATTTTAGAGTAACTGTTTCAGTACAAATATGAATTTAGAGATAATACACATATTTGAAAAAGCAGCTTCCTGATACCCTATCAGAATGAATAGTTCATACTCTTTACTGTCTCCTTGCTTGGAAAATGCTCATCTTCAGCCCTGTTCAGACAAATCTATTTTCATGATAATTGTTACTAGGAAAGCCATCAATTATTGCAAATTCTGTTGCATGAACTCATTTGGAGAATATTGCGGCTATCAATAAATGTTCCTGACTCCCAGGCACACAGAATTCCTAAGCATCAAACAAGACTCTGAAACCATGGGCAGCATAATCTTCCTGATTCCTCTCCCTCCTGTGCAGAGGCAACAATTTTTACAAACTACAGACCTAAAGGCTAACCCTAACCTGTGGGAGAAGTCGGCCCAGCCGTCCATCCATCAACTGTTTGTCAAATAGGAGCAGGATACATGATATGCAGCATGCAAGCATCGATTCTGTAAGAACTGATGATCTGCACAAACTTCCTCCCAGTGGCAGCTTTCTAACCACAGGTAAGTCCGTGCGCAGGGAAACTAGGTGGGAGCCAAAGGAATTCCGACTTGGTCAATTCAAACACTGATAAACAGATAACTTTCAAGCAACCCAGACACCCGCCCCACCTGAATCACTGTGCTGGTCTTTTAGATCGTTGATCAAAAGGGTTCTTCGGCCTCAGGTACTTATATCACATTATGCTCAAGGTGCAAACATTTATGCTAAATGTCCCACTCGGGGTTAAGTCACATACACATCCAGGTGACACCATGGGCCATTACAATTCATGTAGGTCCCACTTCGGCTAAAAGGGTACCGAGCTGGCTGCTTCTTCAAGCCCCTCAAACGAGAGGGATGGGATGAGCCTTAGGAGGGGCTGAGCCAAACACAGCCCGTTTTCCAGGGACAACAAATCCCACTGCGAGGCAGAACTAACCTGGCGTGCCACTCCCTCCGCAGGTTCTGGCGATCGGTGAGCGAGGCCAGGATGGCGGTCACGATTCCATTCCTTTGTCCCACGGGCACCGCCTCTCTTCGAACCTCATGAAGCACCCCATTTGCCTAGAAGAAATGACCCAAAAAAAGAGAAAGAAAGAGTGAAAAATTAATAATACAAAAAAAGCCCATAAGCAAATAAGGACAGTAAATCAATGTCTTTTTTATTACAGTTCCCCTGCTAACAAATCAATACAGTAAATGATGGTCAGAAACGGCCGGCATATATTCGGTGTTTAATCAATGTACACGGCACAGAGGCGGGCTCGGAGGCCCCGCCGCCTTAAGTAACACATCAACACCCTGTGCGTTCCCGCTCTAATTTTCTCGGCACACCAATGATTTTTTCCCCCTGGGAATCGCCTACCATGAGCTGTTATTAGAAATGATTTTCACGTACACTTCGCCGTGAGTTGTTTGTTTTGCCTTCAAAAAAAGAGCAGTCTCTGACTTTCTGCATTTCCTGCCGCCCCGCCGAGGCCTGCTGGACTGCCTCTCTCATTTAAATCATTCTGTTTCCAGCCATGCAGGCAATTCTGCTCTTGTTGTATATCAATTTCCTTAGTTCCTACTACCCCTGGTCCTCCAAGTATCCCTAGCTTCCTGAACTTTCCGAGTCTAATCATTTTATTTTCTTTTGGCACCTTGAGTTATCCAATATCCTTTCATCAAAGTCCCACTTTGTTCAAATTCACCAGGATCTGTTTCTGTTGCTTACAATCAAAAACCCTACAAAGAGCATAGGAGAGGAAGCAAAGAAATGCAGACAAAGAGACAGAGACATGAAATAGTATCTCACTGCAAAGGCTCCAAGATAACCTGACCAGCACTGACCAGGGAAAGGGCCCTGATCTCTGCCTCCTAGGCCCAGAATTACACCCACTCTCCTGGGAGATACACCCAGTTGGACAACATGAGCTTCCAGGGCAACAATATTTCAGCCCTCCAGCCCTGGGAAGGATGCTCAGTTTCTCCAGGCAATCCTACTGCAACGAAGCCCAGGCTGCAAATGGCTAAAGCAGGGGGTGCAAATGCAAATACCCACTAGGGCCAGTAAGGTCACATGAATGAGTTAAGCAGAGGTTACCTGAAGAGAGCGTGGGCTCTGTCTAAAAGGGCAGCCACTACTCAGCAACAGCCAACTCTGCTATTCAGAAAAGCTGGTTCAGGTAGTGCCGGATTCATGAATTTTCAAAACAAATAAGAAATCTGTTTGTTTTTAATGTGAAACGTCTTGATTTTCAAATGTTGGAAACTAATTTTTAAAAATTGTTTAAATATTATGTGGGCAAAACAAGAAACACCTGTAGCTGAACAGAACTCAAGCAGCTGCCCATTTACACCCTCGAGGGTAAAAGATGTCTAATTTCAGAGAGGTCCTGGTGTCAGTGGGTATTCAAACAACAGTCCCCTGTTGCTTCCTGACTGTGACATACCCTGCATGATGTACTTAGAGTGAAAGAGACCTCAGAAAGTTATGTAGTTTATCACTATGTCTGGAGGTACGTATTATTTTCCCCAAATGCAAAAATGCTTCCAACAGAAAACAAAGTACACATTTAGATGGTTCCAAAGACATGATGCAAATAAAACTACTTCTCAATTCGGCTGTACTAAAACAACTTTTTAGAACTGTCATTTAAACTATGTATGGTGCCAGGTGGGTACTAGAATTATCAGGGGGATCACCTCATAAATCATATAATTATCTAACCATTGTGCTGTACACCTGAAACTAATATAATATTAAATGTGAACTGTAATTGAAAAATTACAAAATATAAATAAAAATATTATTTATCTCTTTTTGCCTTTCACAACATTTCTATTTTATCCAGAGGCCCTGTTTTCCAGGAACAGCCTTGAAGAGAAGGAGGGTTTAAAAGTACGTTTCACAAGGGCTGGGGACCTTGTCTGCTTAGTTAGTTACTGTGTCCCCACTACTTGCCCAATGACGTCTAATAAATATTTGTCAAATCAGTAAATAAAGAAGGTACTTGAAAAACAAGTGTTGTAAAAACAAAGAGCAATGGAAGACTCTTCTTTTAAGAAATTGTCATTATGTGAACTTACAAACTCATAAAATAGATAAACTAAGAGACAGCTGGGTACTTTACCAAGGAGCTCTCTTCACTTCCCAAAAGGATTGACTGTGAGGTCTTTTTAAATAACCAGATACCCTAGTTCAGAGTTTCCTGAACCTCAGTCATTGCAGCACCTTCTCGTAATTCTTGCCACATTTGCGTATAAGCCATGTAAGATTTAATATTTTTCTTTAAATAGAACCATTATTTTAAACTATAAAATAAATTCATTTCAGAAGAAAAATTAAAAACTAGTGATACTTGTCAGAAATGAGAAGAGAACCATAAAATAATATATTTAAAACAAAGCTACGGGGCAGGTCATTCGGGATCGACGTCTGTGCTTGCTGAAGGCTGCGAGACTGGGGCCCGCCCCTTCTCTGTAAGAGAGGAGATGACCGAGTGGTGGAGAAGGTTATGGACGCGTCAGTCTACACGAAGGCCTCCTCGACAAAACCACGTGGGCTGCAGAGGAGCTGAGGAGGGAACCACTTTCTCACAGTGTGGTCCTCACTATGGGCACAGGCCTTGAGCACCACCTAGCATCTCCCTGGGTAACACCCGTGGTCCACAGCCCCACTCTGCATGCATTGATTGCCCTGTTGCAATGGTCTTTCAACTCTTCACAGATAAACCTCTTTTCTCCCCAAATGTATTCTTTCACAGAACTCAACAAAGGAAACTGGAGCAGTTCTCTCTGAAGCCCGTAGGGAGGACCTAGAGGCTCTCCCTTTGTCAAGAGGCATCTCTTCAAAACCCCAAGGACCGGTGAAACACAACTGCCAACCTCGACCCAAGAGCATGTAAAATAGCATTCAAGTTTTTTAAAGTTTATGCACTGTTGGCGGGAATGAAAAATATTGCCATCCTGGTCAATGGGTTGGCAGTTTCTTATGAAAATTACATAGACACTTAACATGGGACCCAGAAATCCCATTTCTAGGGATTTAGCTAAAGAACTTAAAAATGTATGCTCACACAGAAACATGGACACAAATGTTTACAGCATCTTTGTTCACAATTGCGCAGAACTGGAAACAACCAAAATATCCTTCAAAGGTGAAATGGGTAAACACACTGTGGTACATCCATACAATGAATACTTACGGCCCGGCAATGAAAAGAGACAAGTAACTGATACATGCAGCCACTCGGACTGCTATCAAAGGCATTATGCCGAGTGAAAGGGGCCAGTCTCAAAAGATTAAACCCCAAGTGATCCCATTTATTTGACAGTCTGGGAAAGGCAAATTATAGAGAGGGAGAGAAACGCAGCGGTGGCCTGGGATTAGGCTGGATGAGTGTTATTTCACAGAGGCGGCATGTGGGAGTTTTTGGGCAGATGTGACTCCTGTTTCCTGACTGCAGCGGTGGTCACATGATTTTATGCATATGTGAAAGCTCATGAGCTGCACATCCCAAAGCAGTCTATTTGATCATATGAAAACTTTATAAAATTTATTCTTTTTAATTCATTTTCATCACATGTTCAGGACAAGAAGGAATGTAGGGAACACACATACCACTACATCTAATAATAAGTAGTTAGTAAAAAAAACATGGGGAAATGTATTTGGATCACAAAACAAAATCTTTTACAATTTTTTTTTTTTAAATATTGGAAAAGAATGGGTGAACTTGGGTTGAGCATTCAGACCCTAAAATACAGTATTTCATAACATTCAGAGTGAAAGAAGTCATGGCACAAATGGAAATCTCAGCGTGTCAAACACCATTCTTTTCGCAAGTATTCATGGTGGAATTTTTCTCCGTCTAGTAGCCTTGGTTCCGCAGGGGTTGACTTTACACAGGAAACGTGAATAGCCCATTTTCCCATCAGCAGTAACACGGGCTGTCTTCAAACAAGTACCGATTTTTAAACAGGCTCCTATTACCAAAAGCACATTCTTCCTCTTCTCCCCGCAAAACACAGGGAGAGTAAATCACAGGTTTAGGAACCAGGCTCTGGAGGTTGAATTTCATCTCAATGTAATTCTTCTTCAAGAGAAACCTATGGAAATGCTGGCTATCAGGAAAAGACTAAGACGATCCTTAGACGGCTGGCCGCTCAAACCTGCGCCACCACCTGGTGCGGGCCTCTCCGCAGCCGCAGTGTGGCGATGGTGACAGGCCTCTCCACAGGTTCTCGTGGGGACACTCACCCGGGACAGGCGCCGCTGTGATGATTACCGTTTAGTTTCATCTGAAACTCACTCATCAACCTCGCGCTAGGTTGTGCTATTTTAACAAAAGGGTTCCTGAGAGTGTCTCTTACTTTAAATGAAAAACTTCAAAAGGAAATCCGGCAGCCACGGAACAATCAGACCACGAAGAGCTCCCACCAGGAGCCAGAGGCATTCCTCTCTGGGAGTCCCCAGTGGCAGGACACCCGTGTCCTTTGAGGGTGGGTTGTATTTTTAGAATCAGTCCTGCTTTTACTTGACGTTTCTCCATTAGTAGACACCTCTCACGCTCAGGCCCCCTCCACATGTCCTGTTGTTCTTAGTCTCGTGTGGGTCACTCGTTCTAGGACCCTCCACTGCGGTCAGCCCAGGGCTACCCGTTGGTTCTCCTCTATCCCTTCCGCTGCTCTCCCTCTGGGTCTCTTAGATGAACGACACCTACATATCTACCTTCAAACAATTCTCTGCTGAGCTCTAGCCCCGTAGAGCCAACCACTGGCTACCTCTCCTTGAACACACACCTCAAACATGGCATCTCATCCTCAACTTGCCCATGTTTGAACTGACAATTTTTGCTCTCCGGTCTCTCTCCTCTTGGTCAACCTGCTCCATGTCCCGTGTTTTCCCAGAGTGTAGAGTAACATCATGACCAATGCCGTCACCCACACTAGACACCTAGGGATCCTCCTGGCCCCTTTCCTTCCTGCACTCCCTGCACCTGCACACAGGCTGCTGTCACTCATGTCTGCCCAGCAGAACCCACCTCATCTCTCCCCACTGCCACAGGCTTCCTTCAGCC